TGTTGGATAAGCTTGTCCCTCTAGTAAACTAAAAGTCAGTATTTCCTATCCAACATGGTGTTAATGCTCATCTTCACATTTTTCAGGGAGATGCTGCTTCAGCTCAAATCACGAGCACGATTCTGGTGCAGCAAAATGTTCTGATTTAGGAGCAAAGGATATCCAAGGTATCAGGACATTGACTATTTCTTTAGAAAAGCATAGTAGACTCCAATTAACTTGATTTATCTTTGGGGGGGAAAAAATTATGTGTTCATCTTTTTGGCTTTTAGAATGGGAAAAGTCATTTGCAACTCTACCAGAAAAACAATTGGATATAAATTACCTGGGGTCATTCAAGACAAAATTTCACTTAGCTCTGTCTGACTGTGACACTGATGGGGAGGTGAAATGAGTTCCCTCTATTGAATTCTACACAGAAAAAGGCACTGCTCATTTTAAAGTAAAAGCCTTGTTTCTTTTCTTTTAGCTTAGCCTAGTATTAATATCTTAATTTACTTTAGAATATTGAACTATTGCACGTAGAATATTTTCCTGTGCCACACACTCATTCTAACTCATAATGCAACGCATTAAATAGAGGAAATAATGTTTTTATGTCGAGGCAATCTTAATAGCAGGCCATATTGGTTGCTTGGAAATAGAGAAATGGTGAATAACTGTTACAGATGAAGAGTAGTTGTGTTGTTATTAAATTTGCAGAGTGGGAAGGCAGCTTAGAAGGTCATAGGACACGAAGCTTTGGGAACAGGATGTCTAAATGTTGAGTTGACTCATCTAAAGCACCACCATGTATTTGATGATTTCCTTCATGCTGTAGCAGAAAATAATGCTTAATGCTCTGTGTTGCCACAACGTGTTCTTTATTTGCTCTCAGCTCTGCCTGCGTTTGCGCTTTACAGGACAGTCAATGTAGCCAGTGGCTTTTTTCTGAATGAGGTGTTTGCACTGGTCTAGTTGATGTTACGCTTAGCACATCCCGTACCTTTTCAGTTCTGTTAAACAGAAGGAAAATGCTCTTGCAATATCTGCATATACAAACAGCAGCAACATGCCAGTATAAGGTACATGTAAGCAAAGATCTGCTGGATATTCTTGTTTTTCCTTGGTACGTGAACTTGAAGCAGTGAGACCTTACGCAAAGGATGTCCTTTTCTCTTAGCAAGTTGTGTTCTTGTTGAGAAAACTCTTGCATATTCTTAACCATATGGTTAATTACATAGGCAAAACACCAAATATAATTAGGAATGTGCTTCTGGAGAGAGAATACTTAATAACAAGCAGGCAGCTCAGCTATTGAATTGTCAGATTATGTTTGCTTGAAGGAACTTCACCTGGAAGATCCTACAAGAAATGTGTACCTTAGTTAAAATGCACAACATTGGTGAAAACCAGAGCAAAGATGGTGAGAAAACCAGAGCAGAGATGGTGAGAAGGCAGCTAAGGTTGGCTGAAGGGTTTGTTGTAAGCGAATGGCTCGTAGAAGCAGCATGCTGGCATTCTTGCAGAGCCATGCAGTCTGCCATGGCATATTGAGCATTAAAGTTATTTGTAGTTCTTACAACTGCACCTTTTCAAACTGAAGGATGCTTTGTGTTTTTCAGACAAACTCTTTTGCAAATAGAATGGTATTCTGACTTCAGGTGTATTTATTTTTTCTTCTAAAGGGGAAGGAAAAAGAGAAGATGCTGGAAATGAACCGAATCTTTGTTGCAATAATGCCATTGGGAATTCTACTTCTGATCCAACTAAATTCAAGGAGCTCAAAACTTGATGTCAGTATGCTTTCTTTATTTTAATACTTTTCTCTGAAGGGAATCTGTTGAAAGGGGCAGCTGCTTGTGATTCATGGGACAGCTTACATCTCTGCATAAGGTGTGGTACACTTATCTGGAAGGATGGGCTGTGTTCCTGAGTCTGTAAAACTGCATTTCAGATAATGCCTCTGGAATAAAGAATGAATTCCTTTACTGATGCAAGGTAAGTTGTTGTTAAATTAAAGAGTGCTGTTATTTGATGGGAAGTTATCCAAAGGTGATTAATACTGTACACTCAAATGATCTGAAGAAATCAAAATTGAAACTGAGCAAAAAGCCACATTTGTTTGGAAGAGCTCTTAAAATATACTGTGGAATTGGAAAAAATCTTGCTACTGTGATAATTGATAGCGTTAAAAATCTATGAATACTAAAACTGAGAGATTTGGTGGGGAGGAAGAGAGTAAACATGCAATTTTCTTTTTGTTTGCTGCATCTTTATTCATTTTTCTGTTGTGGTGTTTTGTACTTACTGTTCTATTGATTAGCATAATGGCAGCATTGTTGTGTGCTGCTTTAGGGACAGCACGTTGTGTTCTCTGGAACAGGGACTGTCTGGATGGAGGACGGGGGGACAGGCACGCCGTGTCTCCTGCTGGGCATGGAGAGGCTGAAATATGCCTATGGATGAAGAGACATTGGCACTTTCTGTTCAGCTCTCGCCCAAGAAGAGAAATGGATCACCTCAAAAACCTGAGGACTTGGAGGATGTTGTTGTTTTTGAAGGTAATAAAAAAAAAAAAATGGAAAACCTTTACTGAGCACAGAGATAGACGAATGCATTACAACAGGGCTTAAAGCCTGTGCTGACAGTGCTAAAAACCCAAATGCTATGGGTCCACACATTGAGCAGCCATCACAGAGCAGCAAATGTTGAATTGTGCATTGGTTCATCTGTGGTGATTTGTTTCCTTGCACTGCCTGTAAGAATGTGAAACCATTCATCTGGTTCTCACAACGGAGTTTTACATCTGCATGTCTCATCAGGAAGGCACTAATTTAGTATGAAAAGATGCCAGTCAGCTCCTGCTCACATCCTATGGGAAAATCTACGCCTAACAAAGGAGATGTTTTGATAGCTTGGCTTTGCTTTCTTTCTTTTTTTGGCCTTTAGCATTTGGGGCTTGAATTTGTGTAAAAGATAATTGCATATCTGCTACTTGCAAGGATTCCAGATTACACTGCTACTTTATGTACTTCCTTCTCCTCACTTTTAGAAAATCGCCCTGCTGTGTGTCAGTAAATACCTCTGTTGGTTCCAGGGCACGGTGGTTAGTTTTACAGGATGTTTGGTTTTGTTTGTGTTTCAAACAGAAAACTGGGATTTCCCAAAAATCAGAACTCCCAAGTGTTGACCACATATAACACAAGACAGTAATTCCTTTAGAGATAATGTGTACCTGTCATCAGCTTATTTTAGAAAAGCATTAACAGTTAAAAAAAACAGGACAGATACTTTCTAGGTGGTGATCAGCCTTCAGTAGGTAATTTGCAGCATGTTTAAATACATCTACTTTTTTGGATTGCCCTTTCTTTGAGAAAGATCAGGTATTAAAGCAAGCAGGAGGCATTCTGGTCACTGATTCTTGGTTGTCCCTGAGCAATTCTGCTGCAGGAGCAGAGGATGTCCCTTCCCACCCAACCCATGGCCAATGGATGGTCTTTGCCATCTCCCTCCAGCAGCAGAGGTGGCACTGGGCATGCTGTCTTCTGTTCTCCATTGACTCAGGAATGCAGCACAGGTATGGAACACAAGTCAATGAGAACATCAGGCATTTTAACCTAAAAACCACACTGCTGGTACCGGGGCCACGTTGTCTGTGTCAGTCCTCTTCTGTCTTTCTCCATACATGGAAAAGTTTGTTGTTTCTTTAGTGGGGAAGAGACTCTCCGACATGGAACTTGTTTGCAGCATCCCCAGAGAAACCTGTGAGCTGTGCTGTGTGTTGGATTCAGAGATGGGATGACTGATTGTGATTATTGGATGTACGTATGGACATTTCCAATTCTGCACCTTTAGGACTGCGCAGGAGTTTAAAACTCCAAGTTTCAGGTTGGCTTTAAAGCTACAAGATCAACAAAAGCTGGTTTCCCCCATACACTGAAGTGTTGGAGGTATGTAATGTGTCAGTCTGTGTTTTAAAGTGGAAAACATTTCTGATATGAGACTGCTGGAATATCACTTTTCAACAGGCTTTTCTTAGAAATCAAATGATTTCCTTTCAGCCCAGATTTCTTTCTTTTTTATCCGGTGTGGTACTTAAATAATGGCCCTCACAATACACACTGCAATGGGAAATAATATAAAAACAAAAGCATATTTATGCAAGTCATGCTAGGCTTCCTCTAGGAAAATATTACTTGAATGCTCTCCTATAACATCTCAGTTGCAGCATAATGACATATAGCTTTCTTTGTACAAGCAGTTTCTTCTGCTGCATCAGGAAATAATATTGCTATTGCAAATACAAAACGTATTCTAATTTTAGTAAAATCTTGTAACCACTTCCCTGCATTTGCTTTATTTTTTTCTTTACTCTGTAATGCCACAGGTTTCACTTCCCAGATTTCTAATTATTACTCCAATGTACACATGCTAAGTGGTGCCATTAAACATTTGAATTCCTGGTGCAAATAGCTAGGAGGTAATTTTCAGTCATTTAATTAAGTCATTACCTTTGACTATTTACAATTTCACCTTTTCAGTGGTTATCAGAAAGTCTTTGATGCAGCACGATCACTTGCTATTCTAAAAATGGAGTGTTTGAGCAAGGGAATTCAGGTCATACTCTGCTGCATGCAGCGGTGTCCCTTCCCATTTAATGCACACGTTACTGTTGCTGGAAATGAGTTGAAGCATTTTAAATACAAAATATCTCAGCTACTTAATGTTCATCTAAATGTTCTCAATATTACCTGGAAATTTTGTTTTGAACCTCATTTCCAAGCCTAGGATCAGCTGACATCCTCCTGTTGTAGCAGTTATCTATACAGGGATCACCTGTGGCAACTGTGTGGCTGCTTGTGTTCTCTTGTGCTTTATTTTGCTATCCATCAGCAAATTAACTATGGCTTATTTTTGTTTATTTAGTTGATCTGTAAGCACGAGTGCTATGTTGCTAAAATGGGGAATAAGTGAGAAAATTAAATATGATTACTGAAGTGATATCCAAGTTTCTCTTAATGCTTTTATTTTTGCTTTAAAAAAAAAAAAGAAACCACAAAACTACAGGCATTGAGGAAACTAGCCTATGTAAGGTAAGAGCTGCTTCCTCCTCTGTTCCAACTGGTATTTGAAAGTTGTCTCTCTTACAGCATTTGTGAAACAATAGTGTTCAGCAGTGCTACTGAGAAGGCACCAAAGAGATCAGACGTAGCATTGGCACACACCAAAGAGATGAAGTTCTGTCTTCGTGCCTTAAGCTAACTAAAGGTGATGTTCTAAAATACGTATTTTGATTTCAAAACTAAGAAACCCAGAGCAACACGTTAGAAGTTAAATACATAACAGTAGTAAATACGGAAAATACAGTTGATAAGCAGAGCAACGAGGCAAAAGAAAATAAGTATAATAGTTGATTTTTTTTTTTAAATGTTAATTCTTTGTCATGCTTGGCTTCCCCCCACCCCTTACATGTAGTGTGTCTTCAGTCTAAGCAGTACATGTATGCAACGTAGTGAGATGGTACTACCTTACATGGCATAGTTAATGAGTTAATTAATCAAAAAGGCAATGACACTGGAAGGCCTGATATCTGCATCAGTATGTGCTAGCCACATTGTCTGAGGAAAAACGAGGTCAAAAATACAGTTTTGAGATATACATACAGTACTTCTTCACGAAGAGAACTTGTCCAAAAGAAAGGCATCCTCTTTTAGCACAGATTTCTCGACGGTTTCAAACAGTAACGTGAAAACTGAAATTACAGTACGACTGCTAATGCTGAGAGATGCTTTGGTACAGACCACTGGGTGCAGATATCAGGCATTTCACCATGTTCCAGATGGTTTCTCCTGACGTATGTAGTCAAGAGTTTGCTATCAACTACTGAGATTGAATTTTCTATACGTTTGATTTTTCCATGAGAATCAGCGCTCCTTATAGATCAGAACTAAACACCCTATATAGGACCAAGAGAGCGGAGTTATTCAAGTTCACTGAAATATTACAAAAAAAAAGGCTTCCTTTTTAGGAAAACTCAGCTATGGTAAAAATATCTACTACAGTGCACTGCACTGTAATAAATATTCAACATAAATTAATAATTTACAAGTACCTGAGCAAGTATACAGAGCACCATAGCACAGCACAGCACCAAAGGCAGTAGCTCAGAACTCTTAAAAAATAATGCTGTTTTAAACATTAAAAAGTCTAAGTATTGTCATAAAAATGAACTCCGGCTGGAGTTGAAAGATAGTGCAAACTTCTGTCTTCACTTTTTAAAATAAAGGTGTCTGATTTCCTCATCATTTCACATCGACAGCAGCATTGCTGGACCTGGGTACCGGCGGTGGATGCTTGGGAGCAGGTCTGTTGGAAAGAGAACAGCAAATTGTTACTTCAAGCACTGTGCTCGAGTCATGAAGAACAATGGTAGCAGCTCGTGGTGAGAGCTATCCAAGCTGACTTTGGGCAATACTGTGGGGCTGCCATGCTGAGACAGTCACCCTATGTACCATCACATGCTTTACAGGCACGTGCATCATGACACGCAAGTGGCACAGCAGCCTCCTCCTCTGAGCTCAGGTGTTAATTGCTACCTGGCCAGGGGATAAGCTCAGTGTTTAAGGTATGGTCCTATGTTTCTTTAGTGCTCATCAATTTTGCACCCCTTCAAAAATGCTACTCCGCATCACAGAGTAGCAGTTGGTTTGAAACAATGGAAGCAGTCAGCTGGAGATGCTATTACTTTCAGATTATCCTACTAGAAGAGAGAGCCTGGAGCTTAATCAAAGCACCCTCTTAAATCCTTTTGCTAGAAGTATTAGAAAACTAACTTAACTCTACTTCTTGAGCAATGTTGAATGCCTCAGTAGAGGAATTTCTATGGCTTAAAATTCTACTTTTTTCTTCCCTACAGGTCACAGAATCACACAGGAGTCACAGAATTGTAGGGGTTGGGAGGGACCTCTGGAGATCATCTTGTCCAACCACAAATAAGTGTAGGAATATGAAGAATTTTGAGTAAGAAAGTAAGAATTATTTTTATTTTTAACAATTATTATTTCTTGATGTATAATTTTTTATTTTTTCCTAAGGCAAGATGATGCTCAGATGATGTAATTCTGTCTTCCTCATAGTGCAATACTGTGGCACAATATCACTGTGTGATGTTTTTGGACAGCTGAGAATAGGAAAGCATACTCTAGGAGAAATAGAATGGAGTTGTTAAAGCTTTCTGTGCTGCTCAAACCTATGGTTTGACTTACTGCAGTTTGTCTACAACTAAGCTGCCTCTTGCACGTATTTCTTTAGGGGCTGTGACATGGATTAAGAATAATCTTGTCATGTAGTTTTATCAGGCAAAGAGACTAAACTGCACTGCCTGCCAGCATTCTTTTGTCTAGGAGTTAAAATTTGAGTTTTTATAAGTAAAAAAAAAAAAAAACAAAAAGCAGCAGCCAGAAAGTTTTCATTTTTTCCTCTATGATAAAGTACACCTAAAATCTTTGCTGCAACTCTTCCTCCCCCCCTTTTTTTCCTTAGCTTCCTATCTAATTTTACTTACTATGTCTCCTTTTATTTACATGTATACTTATATAATTGTAAATATACCAATAGGCTCTTTCTTGTAAAATGGAACTCCTGCATTTCTCATCCTTTCATCTTGAGTGATACTGCACTTCATTACAATTATGGGATGGATTACCTTCTGATAGCTGTGAAATATAAAATGATGACAAAACCTCTTTACAAGCAGTGCCTGCCTGTAAAATACTTTTGATTTAGAGAAGTAATCCATACACAAAACTTGCAAGCATTGTTGAGCCTTTAAATCTTGATTACACTTTTTTCCTCTGCAGCTCTGGGAGGGATAATCATTTCACTTCTAGATTGATTTTTATTTTTTTAAACATCAGCTTTCAGATGCATATGATGCTTTTGGTGAACATTTGGGGTATTATTTTTGGATGATATAATGTTCTGCTGTGGAAAGTGCAAACAGAAAACTGCTTTTATTGGTGTCTGACTTTAAGAGCCACGTTCAGTTCTCAGCCTAATTCTGTAGGTGGGATGGCTGAACAGGACTTTTCTGCAAGAGGTTATTTCTTCTAGAAATTGGTACTTATTGACTACTTGCTCTTACAAGGAACAGCAAGCAGTAATAGAGCAGTCAGACCTCCATACGCATCATAAATGCTGTTGGTCCTGTGGAGTCAGTGCAAGTGTGCCAATGTACTCTTGGTGCAAATCCCTGGCTTTCTGATGAGCAAACAGAAGATGCTTTTTGTGTATCACTCAGCAACAGTTGCAGCTCCTCAGAGCACAGAGGATCTGCTCTAAGATATCTCAGACCTGTCAGTGCTGTGCTACAAGTCGAGCCATGTCGAGGAGGAGAACCAACCTTACAGGAGCAATGTGAGGCAGCGCTTTTGTGTGTCCAAGCCCTGGGGTGCATGTGCTGTTATAACGAGCTTTGTTCAGGGGATCTGCTGGTAGAGGCTTCTGAGGAGGGTTTGGCTTGTGGTTTTCCTACAATAAAATAGAAATTGATCGTATTATAGTCTTTAAAGCTGGTTTTATCATATCTTTGCTCTAGCTCGGTGGTTGCTAGGTTCAGCACAGTTGTAGATATATTTAGGTGAGCATATTGTAATGTATTTCTAAGCAGCAGGCACCTATGTTTTAAAGAAAGTTTTATACTTTAGGGATTTGGGTTTTTTTATTATTCTTTATTACAGAGATAGTATGTGTGCTGAGATTGAAATTTCAGATTATTTAGTGGTAAAGGAAGACCAACAGAATGAATACATATCGTTGTAAAAGAAGATATAGAGAAAAGTGGCAGAACTAGAAGTAACATTAAAATACAGACTTAGATGAGCATAGCAGCAAACTGCTCAATTCCAGTTTGAACTGGGAATGTCTTTTTTTTGTTGTTGCTGTTGTTCAGAAATGCTGTTGTGCTTTCATTTAGTGGAATTACATGATTCATTAATAGGGAACAGAAGTCATCTGCTGGCAGACATGAGCTCATGTCTCTTCTGTGTGGTCCCTGAAGCCCTGCAAACAGGGCAGGGTGTCTACTTGTGGTCTTCATTAAGAAGAACTGGGACAGATTAACTCTCCACTGTACCCCAAATCTCCAGATCCATCTGCTATGGATCTCACCACGCTTTCTCTAAAAACATTGGACAGGGTAATTTTACTCTTCACTGTTAGTTTGCTGTAACTGCTAAGGTTGACCAAGAAGAAACAGAGCTTACGGGTGTAATTTAAAGATCCCTTGAAAAATGTAATCAAAACAGACCCCTAGAGGCATGAGTTACTCATGAATAAAACACCAGTTTTCACCATTTGTTTTGAGCATCCCTTTGTTTTCTTCCTTTTCGTGACAGATGTTTTACTCTTTTGGAAAGGAAACACAGGGTGACTGTTAGTACGCATTCTAAGAATGGATTTAAACAAAAGTAGGGAATGTAAGATTTTCTGAGCAGCGCAGAGCAGACAAGGACTAATGGGGCTCAATCATAGAATCATTAAGGTTGGAAAAGACCACAAAGATCATCTAGCCCACCTACTGACTCATCACTACTCTATCCACTAAACCAGGCTCCTTCGTGCCACATCGGTTGCTTTTGTTGTTTATCCAACCATTTTATTTGGAAGAAAGCTGGCTGGAATGGCTAACCCAGGTGTGCTGAGTTTGGACATCCCCTTGTCTGGACTTGGCCATGGAGTGAGCATCTTCTGTGGCTTAGAATGAAGGTAACCTTGAATGCCTTACCCGACTGAATTCTTTTGGCTCCCTCAGCTCCTCACATGAATGTTTATTCTGAAGATGCTGACCCATCAGTCATACTACAAAGGTAATTTTGATGGGTACCAGCCAAGCACCTGATTTCATTTCCTGATCAACCTAATGGAGCTGGGAGATAGATACTGACAGTGAACCTGGCCCCTTGATTAAGTATGTTTGTAGCATAAAAGCACCTGAAAGTAGAAACTGTTTATTAGTTTAATTAAATATTAAATATTGTTAAATATTAAACTTGGCAACACCTCATGTGCTGCTGCTTTTGTTTGTTTTATTATTATTATTTTTAAACTATTTTAATTAAATCTTAAAGGGAAATTTACAATGAAGTAATAATTCATTCATTGCTGTCTCAATGGCCACTAGAGGGGAGGAGACTTGTCTTACAGCTCACCTTGTATGCTGTGTCTTATTTACCTACTGCTCTCAGCCAGAGGCAGCAGGAAAGGAGCTCATGTGCAAACACCTCTCAGAGGAGAGAAGCTGAACAAGGGAGATAGAAGCAACAGAAACACTGAATGGTTTGGGGTACTCCTCTTCAGCAGTATGCTGCAACACTGAGCACCTGGATGATTGATATAAATGGTGTAGCAATGATTTTTGAAGTGCTTTCTCTTGCCCTGTTGGATGCAGTTCCAAGCAGTTGGTGCAGATGCAATACTTGGGGTAGCATCTACATAAATTAGACCCAAACTATTCTAAAGCAGTGTCCTCTGAACATTGAGGGGGTAAATAACTAAGAAAAATGTTTTCTTCCCATGCAGTCATTTCCTCATCCCTAGACGTTATGATTTTGAAAGAATGCACTCTTGCTTGTTCTCTAAGTTGCCCTGAGTTGATTCCATGTTTCTGTTTCATACAGCAACTGAAAATTGAAAACATTGTTATTTTGCTTGATGGAGTTGCAATTAATTTCAGCTGCTAAACTGAAAAGCTGCTTTTGCAGTTTCAGCTCTGTCAGGCTTGGGTAATGATGGTGCTAGAGAGCTAGTATTCTGCTTTGTGGGATTTGAAGAAGTGGGCACGTATGTAAGGAGGAGAATTGCAGTGATTGCATTTGGTCACTGTGGGTGGCTGGGGCAGATGTCCTATCACACTGAGAAACAAACAGTTCCCTGTGCTAGTGAGGGCTGGCTTGTATAGTGCTAGATGAACTTTTTTTTAGTGAACTATTTGATTAAGGATAGAACAGCACTCGTATTTAAAATACTAATTTTGACCAATGTGAAATATGCAGAGTGTTCTAAGAAATGCAAGGAAACAAAGAGTGAAACCATCAGAGCTAAAGGCAGCACCAACCAGTACCGGTCCAGATCTCCCATAAAACCTATTTTTGAAAGAATCAATATTTCCCATTCTCCTGAATGGGAAAATAAATGACTAGCAGGATGGAAAAAGGAAGAAGAAAGAAATTGAATACTCTGAAAAAGATTAATAAACTGTCTCTACTTTGAATCACTCATTGGATGTTCAGCCATCCAAATATAAACCTTCTACACTCTCTCCACTGCCATAATATCTAAACACAGTAGCATGGCAGATCAGCATTATCTTGCCCCTTTTTTACTTATTTGCTCATTTTGCACACATCCAAAGCACTTCCAAGTCCACCTGCTAATCCCTGAGAAAGTGACTTGGGACCAGCTCGCAAGGTTGCTGCATGAAGAAAGCACTGACCATGGCCATCACAGCCAGCTTTCTAGTAGGCACAGTCCCTCAACTCACAGCTGTTTGACTACAGATTTGAGGTAAGTAACTGCACACAGACTAACATGCTGCTCATTTAAGATAGCTTGGTGATAATGACATGCACTTCATTTTAATCTTGTAGTTTATCTTAAACAGCAAAACATCTATAAAATAAAACTAAATGGATGTCTGACCCCTTTCCTAAGACTCAATCATCTTACAAATGTGACCAAAAGAGAGAAGTTTTAGTGACAAGAAAAGGGCAATGTGGCACAGACAACTCCATCTAACCTGAACACTGCCTTGAGATGCATCTTATTATAAACCAGCTCTACTAAACAGTGGAAGGAGAGGTAGGTGTACATGAAATAAGTGTGGACAAGCAGAAGTCTTTTTCTTCTGAGATCTGTGCTCTGTAGCAACCCAACAAATCACATGCTCTTTAGAAGAACTGAACTGCAAGCTAATATACATTTTGTTTCTGGGCAAGATTTTTGTAGTTTGATTTCATCAACTATACTGTCACCTTCCTAACAGCCCCTGTAGCTTCCCCTCTGGCTAGGCAGGACAAGTCCAGGTCTGGCCATGACATAGAAGACACAGCAATACAAACAGTGGTGGAATGGTGCCTTGATTGGCAGAAACCAGTACTGCCCTCCTGACTACAATGGGATCTTAAGGCATCGTTATAATTTACACCCTATTCCTACAGTGCAAAAAGTACAAAGACCAGACTGTGGCTAAAGGCAAAGGGGAAAGATGAGAAAACCACTTCATTCCTATTCTTTATAGTTGGAGACAGAAGTTGAAAGGAACTCTATGGTTACCTGGGAGAACCTGAGCATGGGGTTGGCAGGAAGGGGCCTTTCAGGCCCAGCTTGGTGGCAGGGTGGCTGGGGAAGGGGCGGCAGGACACGCTGAGGGGTCTTCAGCTGTGGCACATGGTGTGTCTTCACCGGGTCACTGATGTCAACGATCTGGTAGGGCAGCGGGCGCCTTGGGCCATCCCTCTGCAGAAACCAACAGTCGTAAACTTTGGGAGCTGAGACAAGAGCTACAGCTCTACAAATCTGGGCTAATATACTATTGTATGTTACTTTAGAAGTTTACTTTAGAAGTTATGAATCTCATTTAACCACTTACTTAAAGACTTACTTTTTGCACGTTTGTATTTTGTGGCTTCATGATGAGATTTTTACTGAGAGACGTGGTACGAATGTGATTGGGCTTAGATGATCTAGAAGATCTCGCTGGGCTCACAGACCTGCAATATGAGTGCATACATATTGAACACAACAGTCTGCTTCATGGCATTTTTTTTAAACAGTAATATCTTTTCAGAATGGGATTTCACAAGGACTTGCTGACTTTTTACAGTAAACAAGGAAAGTAAAGATTCTCTAGTGCATGAATAAAAATAAATATTGATTTTTTTTTTTTTGGAAACCAGTAGTCTGTTAAATTAGCTCCTGCAATCTGTGGCAATGCAGCTTTGCAACACCCAAGAGACTCTTCTAATGAATCTAGCATTTAAACAGTAATGACCTCAAATATGAAAGCCTCGGCTCCCTCGACTGAGTGTAGATAAAAGGCCATGCAATGTAATGAACCTGTTTGATGCAAACGAAAATAAAAGTAAGACTTCCTTCAATTCCATTTTTTCTTTTTTTTATCATAAAAGAAGAGGTATGCAGCCAAACCAAACCTCACATTATCACTGACAATCGGCAACGTTTTACTAAATCAGAAGAACACTGGGTGAATATTTCTAAGGCTGGATCCGTGTAAAGCATTGTCAACCATTCTGAGATAAATGCAGAGATGAGATTTGCTGTGTTCACAGTTATTTGCTACTCATATCTTTAAAGACAATAATAATAGGGAGCATAATTACAGAAAGCAATCATACCTTAATTTCTCTATTGTTGTCTTCTTACTTGTAAACAGCAATCTCATGAGAGTCTTCCTTTTCAGATACATGACTGACCCAGCAAAGGTAAGGCACAGAATGGTGATCAACACTCCTACGGTTAAGCTCTTATTATCTGCAACAAAACACAGCCAGTTAACTTCTACCGAGAGCCATCTGTACTGAAACTTGCCCTGTAGTGCTGCTGCCCAGCCCTACTGACTGCTGTTACAGAGTGCTTTAAGCTGTGAAGTGCATTGCTGGGACCTAAGTGAGGCTCAGCAGAGATGCAAGCCCTGACTGGATGACTTCCAGCTGGAAGCAAGCCTTATTTTTAGAAAGAGGCAAGCAGCAGCTCTGATACTGATGGCTATGTGATGTGATCATCGCCCGGAGGAGGGGATGTTGTGGTTCTGCAGGACTGCTGACCTAAAAGTGCACCCTCCCACAGCAGGAGATGCATATTTAAACTTTGCTCTGGTAACCTATCATCACTGTCTCAGCCTTATCCTGGTGGAATTTCAGGTGGCTGGCTCCCACCCTGTACCAGGGCAGGGGGACACGGTCAGCAGCAACGTGGGACCTGACGGGTGCGAAGTGCTGCAGAGCAATGCATCCCCCACCATTTCTGGAAGATGAATAAAATTCTCACATTTTGATCGTGCAATTTAAATTAATTAACTTCTCTACGTAGCAATTAAATATTTAAGACTTCTTAATAAGAAAAATACATGGTCAAACACCTGGGTTTACTCCGAGTCAGCTGGGAGAAATCAGTTACTTAATGCTAATGAGACCACGTGCTATGTTTGACGAAGATACATGCATTTTATTGAGCTAATTCTTCAGTAATTTGATTTAGAGATGTGCAAACTACTCAGATCATCCCAACCACCCTGTCAAGAGCTCATATTGAAATCCAAATGTCAAGGATAGAGAATTAGGTCCTCTAGCAATTTCCATATTTGTTTATTCCTACGTTATTAAATGCAGTGCTGAGAAAAATGGTCAAAATAACACACTGAAAAGTCTTCTGTTAAACTGAAGCATTAACTTCTGAAACACAAACTGCAAGAATTATAAAAGATAACCTGTATTTGTCTGCAGTTAGCAGTGCCTATGCAGCACGTTGTAATATATTTGTAGCTCCCTAGATACTTTGATACAAGATAAAGGGAATACAATGCTTTAGAGCAAATCTGAGCAGAAGAACATTTAACACACAGGTAGTCACACTTGCTCAGTGCCTGAGCGCTGCTCCTTTGCTATCTTACCAGCTGGTAGGTATTTAAAAAAAAAAACAACCACCATTCAGCAGAGGAATCACAATGTGCTGCTTTGTCATGGAAATGACAGTGAAGTCATAAATCCAACATTGGGATTCAGTGCAGGATCTGGCGTGGAGAGAATACAATCCATTTTGGTTTTGGATGGCATTATTCATGTGAGAATGGGCAGATCACTTTCCAGCAAGTTTGAGGTTATATATGGATATATGAGCAGGCTGCTGGCCCAGTCACTTGCTCAGACATAAATCAGAAATATCTCTATGGAAGTCACTAAAGTTACAGTACTGTGGAGAAAAATTGGCGAGTGATGATTATCAAATCCTATAAAATTGCACTGCGCGTAGAAATAATTCCTTCTGAGGCTGGCCAGAGATGGAGGGAGATACTAATGCCAATGTTCTGCAGACTGAACGAGGGGAAGCTGAAATACAAATTACAGAAAATCACTCGTCCTACTGCTATCATATGGGAAGGGAATTTCTGCTTAACTTGCAGAAGCTTTCTACAAAATATAGTTAAAATCCGATACAATCAGAAATCGCCTTTGTTCCACAATGCAGAAATATAAAAACAATAATGAAATCCTTTCAGAAGCACAGTATCAGATAGACTTCTGATTTTTCCATGCATAGAAATGCTGCATGTCTCATCTTTGCAGCTTCCTGCCTGCAGCTTAGGCCAGTACCACATCCTGCACATTTTGGGGAGCTGTTAAGGCATGGAATCATAGGAAGGCTTTGGTTGGGAGGGATATTAAAGCCATGCATGCCTCTCTGGGCAGCCTGTGCCCTCTGAGTAAAGAATTTCTTCCTTGCATCTAACTCAACTTGATCATATATCTTGAGAAAAAAAGAAATGAGATGAGACTCACCAGGAATACTGTGCCTTTAGTTAAGCAAGAAGAGTAATGCACTCAGCTGGCTTTGGCTTTGCTTCACCAGATTTGCAAGTTGGTACCAATGCATTTAGAATAAGCTGTTTTCCTGACTTCCTGCAGCCTTGCAAGGTGACATTTTGCATTTCTGTTCTTTATCGTGGAAGCAAGAGCTAAAGCATGACTTATTACCCACCTGCTTGCCTGATGGGCCCGCTGTCCACGCTGCCACCAAAGCCTGGCTTGTCACAGTATGGAGGAGCCCAGTCAGCCTCACAGTGACAGTTCTTTTTGTTGTTGCAAACCTTCAAAAGAAAAGACAGACAGCCTAACATGAAAAGGATTCTGCTGTATAACTGGCCAACAGTGCCTCTTAATCAGCTGGTGACACAGCTGAGCGAAATGAAGCTCATGTCACAGAAGAGATGTACTGATATTTGCTCCTTGTCACAGCTAGGATGGCACAAAGCAACTCCAAATACAAGGGGAAGGAAAAAAAAGGCGTTATTATTTATGTAGCAGGTAATAGTTTGAGTTGCATCAGCTGACAGCTCCAATAACCACAGTAAGGATCATCAGACACCTCTTAAGTCTTATTTTCTCTTTGCTTCCAGCAGCAACATTATCTGCTTTCTAACTTCTGTTCTTTTTGCCTTCGCAGGAAGAGGAGCTGCTCAGTGTTGTTAACACCACAAAGCTTTGTCAGCTCACTCGATCTCTCCTATCCATCAAGGCCTCGTGTCAGACCACACGCTGATTTCTACACTGCTCAGACCCCCAGCTCTGAGATGCAGCAGTTGCTGGAAGAACGTGTGAAACTGGATGCAGGGCAGAGGAAATCCTCCCTCTAGTATCGTATTTGCATGACCCATACAGACACACAGAATCACAGAATGATTGGAGTTGGAAGGGACCTCTAAAGGCCTGCAATTAATGGGGAAACCCACAGCTCCATCATGTGCTCAGAGTCCATCCCCTGGCCTTGGGTGTCTGCAGGGATGGGCAGCTCCCTGAGCAGCCTGTGCAGTGCCTCACTACCATTACTGTACAAAACTTCTTCCTTACATTTGATCTAAATCTCCCCTTCTTTAGTTTGAAAACATTTCTCCTTGTCCTTTCACAACAGACCTACTACAGAGTCTGTCCCCTTCTTTCTTTCCGGCCCTTATGATCTGCCACCACCACAGGGAAAACACAACAGATCAACAGACAGATTTATAAGACACCAGTTAGTTCACGGGAGTTCACAGATACTCATTTTCTGGCAAGGTCAGCTGGCAGGTTGTCAGAAAGACCATACTGGCTGCGTCTGCAGAGCATTAAAACATCATGCACATAGCTTAGCTTTGCTATGGTCATGTAAAATGCAAAAAGCAATGATTTATTTTTCAAAAACAGCAAGATAGTTGAAAATATCATTTGTTAAGTTTTTTTTTTTTTTTTTTTTTTTAAATTACAGACCTACAGGAGTTCCCCTCCACAGTTCCATGAGGTCCTCTCTGACTCCTTGGGAGTCCATAATGCAGGCATAAAGATGCCCCTGACAGTTACCCCAGCATAATGGCAAGATGCAGCACCATCAACAGTTCTTATGTTTTTTGAATTCAAAATGATAAGTTACAGTAAATTAAAATCCCTTCACAGGAGAGGACAGAGAACTGTCAGAGCTTTTTTGCAGAAACAAACAGATCATTAGAAAATCAAGGTTAATAAGGCGTATCTTGACACGACTAGCATTTTCATAAAATAAAACTAGCTTTCAGAAGACTCTGCTCTTACTGGTTGATTTTTCATTCTGTGTCACCATACCATTCAACTCATCAGTATGTTTTTTTACTTCAGTACTTTTGGAAATACTTTTTTCAAATATCTTCATTCAAATGCATATTTTAGCTTTGCTGGGCCCACATAGAAACTGTCTTTTTTGAAATGTTAATGGGAACTCTTCATGAAGGAAGGTTAGACAAAATTTCTTTGAAGATGACAAAATTCCTTTTTATCACAGACTGTTAATTAAGAGCAAGATAATTACTAACTGATAAATATTCCTTTGTTAAATAAAAATAATTTCACTTCTATTAGTTCATATAAGAGACACTGAAAATTGAAATACATAAGAAAAAAGTACTGCAATGACTTTGACTGATGTATTATTATTCCCTGGAGACTTTCAAGGCAAGGCTGGATCAGGCCTGGGCATCCTGATCTAGCTGTGGGCTTCTCTGTTCATTGCAGGGGAGCTGGACTAGATGACCTTTAAAGGTCCCTTCCAACTCTAAGGACTCTATGATTCTATTCTATAATTACAAAGAATCATAGAACTCAAAGGCATTACATAAAATCACTTCTTGTCCAGTGTTCGTTGGCTCTAAAAAAAAAAAAAACAAAAACCAAAAAGGGTTCCTATAATGCTTACCCCACGTCCATGGCACTTTGTTGCACACTTATGCACACCAAAAACACTCGTATTCTGGCACCGGCGATTAAGGCAAATCTGCAAAATAAGAAAAGTGGAATTTTAATAGGAGCAGAACTGCTAGTGATCATCATAGAAACCTTAAGGCTGGAAAAAACCACTAGGATCCCCAAACCCAACCCCAGCCACCCCACCGTGCCCACGTCTCTCAGTATCACACCTGCACAGCTCTGGAGCACCTCCAGAAATGGTGACCCCACCACTCCATGGGCAGCCGTGCCAATGCCACTTTTTCTGAGAAGAAATTTTTCCTAATATCCGACCTAAACTGTGCACTGCGTCCCTCTCCAGCACTACATATCTGTTGTTCATCTGCCAATGGCCGTTTTAGCACTTACAAAGGTCTCCCAACACGCATGCTGTATTGACAGCATTCCATTGATGAAAAAATAAAGACATCAACCTTAGGTATTTTCTTCTCTATAAGCCCTTCTAGACCAACTAGGTCAAAATCTCTGACATTTGTATATTACTCTTGGTTAGCACCTTGGCCAATACTGAGTTTTGACATCACAGCTCACACTTGGTTTTCTTTCAACACCAATTAAAAACCTCCAGCTTTTTGCCTTTTTTTCTTTTCCAGGACTACGAACCTGAACGCATTAAGTTAGGATTTGATTCAGGTCCCCTTTTAAAATTGCATAGCTCTGTTTATACCAATGGCACGGTACTCATATATACTGGTGCAGAATGTGGACCTACAACTGCCTGAATATCCACCTGGCCTCGCTGATACATATGGGCTCATTATTGTTCTTCAGCAAAACCGAGACCTTTCTGACAGTTTTCCCAAGCTAAACAAACTTTGGTGTCAAATATAAAACAGCCATACATAAAACATAATAACAACCTTCTAGGAAATGGAAGTAAACAAACAGTGCGTGTAAAGTATTCAGATGCACAGTTTTTTGTTTTCCAATCTGGAAAATGTTACTCTGTCAATATAGATGAAAACTGGGGCAAAGCAAGATTAGCATCACCAAATAACACCATTGAGCAGTCAGATGACTGATGAGGATGTCAGTCATGAGAAGTTATCCTACTCAAAACTGTAAACAAAGAAGAAATTAGGACTGGAATGACTGTTACTATCCTATATTGACTAAAAGTAAAAAATTAAAATAAAATAAAAATCACTTCACAATTTTGTTCCTCTTCAACCGCAGCTCAGTTCAGTAGTACTAAAAGTCAGTCAAAATAATTAGCATTAAGCAGGGAAAAGAGTTGAAGGAGACGACAGGGATGCTTAATCAGGGCACTTATCCCCTGAGGAGAAGGAAAAATGGAAAAGAAATTAGAGTGAATTGGCATCAACATGCAGGCATGTAGAGAATATGGTCTGATTACAGCAGCATTCACCATTCAAGTATTCAGAGTGCAGCAGCACACAGAATTCTGATCGCATTAAAATGGCTGCATTGCAAATGGTGCATCTTCAGCTTAGAAAACTCAAGAATATTTAAATTCATATTCTTAATCCGTAATACAAATGCACTAATGTCCTCAGAGTAAAACATACAATTTCATAAGTATTAGCCTGTGCATTCTATGTGTGTATGTATATGATTAGACAGATTAGAAAGATTAAATACTCATTAGTAAAACATAATGGGGTGCTTTCCCAGCATTGAATGTTCTTTGAAAAAAAGTTCTGTAACAGACTGACTTAGAAATGTTGTGTAAGTGTTGTTTTCCTGCAGTAGAACCGCAGTTGCACGAGGGATGTGCTCTCAAAGCTGTGTGGTGCTCCAACGTTATTCAAAAGCATTCAGAAATTCAGTGGCTCGTTCGAATCTACCACAGATTATCAAAGCACTTTTCTTCCCTCTTTGCCACGGGGAGTAAAGAAATATTCTCCATTTCAGTGGCTCCTGGACTCTTTTCCATTTCTCTCACTGTTAAATGTCTGTCTCCCACCTTTCTTTCAATCATAGAATGGTTTTGGCTGGTTCTCTGTTCCTTTTCTCTACAAGGAAATCCTGTGAATGTGCCATATGAAATTTGGCCTGCAAATGACCTCATTTCACATCAGGTAACTCACAGCGTTTGCAGAATATGATTGCAAAAATCAGTTTTGAAGGCTGAATATTAATATGGATTAGTATTTTTAAAATAGAGTGTTCAGAAACAGATTTTCATCCAAAAAGGGGTGGGGAAGGGAGAGACTCAGCAGCAGAGTTGACATCTGAAGTGACATTAACGACAATTCTGCAGGGCAGCAGACATTAAGAAAGTTAGCATCACTGGTAGAAAAAAGAAACATGAAAATAGTAGCTTAACTGCAGTCCTTCCAAGGAATCCCATGAGCTCCTCAGAATTTCATAACGTATTTTGCAAGGAACCTCTAACCTAACTGGACAGATACTCAGGACTGTCCTAAAGAAAAAGGATTATGAACTTAAGCAAATTGCAATGCATCTGTAAATCTGTAATCCAGAAGAGCAGTCAGAAGAAGAGCATAAGCACCTAACGCAGCAACAACAGGAGAAGCAATAAGAGCCCACCAATTCTCTTGTGAAGAATTAAAATGAAGTTCCAAAGCAAACCCCAATCAATTTAGTACAGAATAGTTTGGGTCCTGAGGGCAGCGATGTTCTCCTTGTCCAAGAGTATTTCAGGTCCTTACTTTTCCATCTTCACACTTGGTTCCTGACAGCACGAGACCAGGGTCAGGCATGTCATCCCCCAGATACACGTGGGTGCCACGACACAGGATTTTGCCACCTTCCTGAAGTGGGATATTGGTTTCTATGGAAACAGCATTGGTACCAATTACAGGTCGATTGGCTCCTCCTTGACACTGAATTTTTCCACATTTAGCATCTCTGAAGGAAACAGACAAAACCAAATGTGAGTTAAGTATCTGTAGATGGCACAAACCCATTCCCACCACCATCACAGCCCTACCTGGGCTCACACTTGGCGAAGGAGCTCTTGGAGTCTTTGCCACAGTTGCCGTATGGATCACCTGCAGAATTGACTCTCTCAAAGCAGATCCCAGGAGCGGGTTTGGCACCTGAAACAAAACCTAATCAGAACCTTCATCTCATACGAGGTGTTTTTAATAATTTTCTTTGAGCTCCACCGACGTTTTAGGGGAAAGTGGGATGTGATGTGCATGCTGATGAAGAGCAGCAGAGCCCTTGTGCTGGATCAGCATGCTAATGGAAGGGCCCAGACACACGTCTTTTCCACAGTTCTTTGTCTCCCTTGGCAGTGCTGAGCAGCAGACAATGCAGGACTCGCACTCTTTCCGAGTTTCTAGATGATGGCCCTCTAGTGAATCCTCCCAGGACACAAAAAACTTTCAGCAAATGCCAAATCTAATGAAGACAGACACAGGCCAGCTGGTAAGTGAACTCCCTCTGTTTTACAGGAGTCCATGTGATTCAAGCAACGGCCCAGGAGCTGAAGCCAATGGAAATAGTTGTCAAGAAAAGCCTTTGTAACCGCAGCTCAGAACAACAAGAAATCAGGAAAAAACTCTAGTTGCTAACAAGAGTGCTGTATGGCCATAAAACCATGAAACCTGACATGCCAGCTCGAGCTGACACGCTGGGAGGAGGAAGGAATCCATGCCTGAGAAGAAAGACTGACCTGAAGGGAGGATCCCTTCTGCCACGGTGGTGGAACTAGGAATCTGAGAAGACAAGCAGCATCTGGTTCTTATCTACTGCAGCCTTTTGCAATGGAGACATACCCAAGCAGCAAAGGAACTTCCCTGATGGGAGTAGTACTGGAAATGTTTGTGCAGACAGATTACTCATCCCTACATTTCAGAAGTCAAAAGGTGCCTATTAGAACACGTACTCTAATCTCTTAAGCAGAGATTCTCCTGTCCATCTTTTTTT